TAAGTACTTGTTATAAATATTTATTAAATACTTATTATAATTATATAATTACTTGCTAAATATTTAGTTTAAATATTTACTGGGTATAATATGCATTGGAATTGGTTTAATAAGTAATTAGAATAAGTATTTAATAAGTCTTAGTAAGTACTTAGCAAGTACTTTATTATGTTTCCTAATGCATGTGAGATTTTGGAAGATATGAATAAAGATCAGTATAAATTGTTTCATATATGTGACAAATAAATATTGGCAAGTAAAAATTGGGAAGTTTAAATATAAAATAATGAGAATTTCTATTTGTACATGGGGTGTATATATATGGGTAATATAGATATCTCAAAATTTTAATTATGAAACCACCTTTTGAATTCTAATAAAAAAAATTCCTTGTGAAATTTTGGTATGAATTATGTTTAGCCCAAACCTACCCTTATCCTAACCATAAGCGAGGGTTTAATTTTTCATCTGTAAAAATTGTTTTGATTGACATGTTACATGAATTTGTAATTCAATAAATTATATCCGTGTATAAACACTATGTGTAAACTAATAAATTTTCTAAAATAATAGTTATTTTGTAGTATAATATTTAAACTTCCTAGATTTTACTTGATAGCACTTATTTTTAAAGAAATAACAGAGCTATCAGTTTAATTAATATTTATTTTAATGTATAAAATGAAGTTATTCAAATATTAAGTGGTCTTGACAATTTGTTGCATTTGGATTATATCAAAAAATGGTCAGAAATATCTTATCACATGTTCAAGAATATTATGCCCACTATTAATAAGGCTTGAAGGACAATTTTAGATTTAAATTAACTGAATTAAATCATGTTCTCAAAAATCTTCATTGATACTAATTCGAATTATAGAAAATTAAACAAGACCTGAAAAATTTATGCAGAATAAAAAAGAACAGAAGTAAATAGAAGGCATCAAGAAGTAAGTATAGTCTATTTGATTTCTATACTAATAACAAATAACTTTGAAATTTATATAAAATTGTATTATATTTGTATTATCTTAACTACAGTTAATATTGACGCACAGTTAATATAATACAAATATAATATAAATTTATTTTTATATCTGTTATTTTATTAGATAAGTAACTAAATAGATCTATTATACTTTTTTATTTTAAAAATAATACTGATCTACTGATATTAATTATAAACTATCTATTAATTTATAGAAAACAAATAGACATATCAGAGGCATTGATTATTTGGTTAATGCCAAAAATAAGAACCCTGTTGCTCTTTTCCTAACAATAAGTTGTGACTATTTTAAAGTCACTATTAATATCAATGGCTACCATTTAGACAAAGTTTCCAAAACTGATATAAAAAGAACACAATCAGAATGCCAATTAAAAATTCATTCCAAAAACAAAAAAGCTTGTAATAAACATATGCTTCATATTAAGGATAAATTATGAAGATCCTAGAGGTTAAGCAATTACAATAAATATTATAATTATAAATATAATTATTATTTTTACATTTCTTTACTTTATGTAAATTAGGTTAAAAAAATTTTGTGGCTCACTAATGAAGTGGGCAAAAATATTGCTAAGTTAAGTATACAAAAAAATGATGGTATAATGACTAGAGATAGGTCGATAGGTCTATACCACCACCCAATATCTCAGCCTAGACTATTTCTTCTTCTTATCATTCCAAAAATGAAGATAATGAAGATGAAGAGGAAGATAAAGAAGATAAATAGGAAGATAAAAATGATGATGATGACGATGATAAATATGATAAACTAGAAGATGAAAAAAATGCTCCTGTAAACAATAGTGGCAATATTGATAATGACAAGACAAATAATGGAAGGAATAAAAAAAGAACTGATAATACTGATAGAGAAAACTAAAGTGATTGAATTGGGAATTTCTCTGACAAATTATTTATTTTTTTTGCATATATTATTGGTTTTTTTACTTTGTAGTATTGCTTTTGTCTATTCTTTTTTTTTTACTTTGTAGTATTGCTTTGTCTATCGCTTTTTTTTAAAATTGTAATATTGCTTTTGAAATGATACAAATAAAATATTTAATAAAGTATATTTAGTTCTATTGCTTTAATTAAAAATAGTTTAGTAGTGTCTAATATAGTATAAACAATCATTAGCATATATAAAAAATTCTATCAACTAAAGCAATATGCATATTGGTATATCTATATGCTTTTGAAAAATATATTATATTACTGATATTTTTTTAAATAATAATAATATTATAACAAATAGTATATTGTAAAGCTCTGATATTTTGATAAGTAGTTAATTTTGACAAATTAATATCAATATCAGCATTATTGATATTGCTAGAAATTTTTTCAATTGAAATTCAAAAGATATCATATTTCTGCCAAACTTCTAGTTAATATCAGATACCTTCTAATTAAAAATTGGAAATAATATTGGTAGATCTTTGATTCATATTAGTACTCATATTAGTACATATTAGCATTCTGATATTTTTTTAGTAGAACTTTTTTTAACCTGTGAATGTATTAGCAAATGCATTAATATTCTTACTTAGATCTGTTATTTCAGTAATTATCCCTAAGTGTCTCTATCTTTCTTGAAGAAAGAGCTATTTGGGGTATTGTTTGCAGGCTTAAAGATCTTAAGTTTAATGCTTAGTTTACAGAAAGTAGCTTTAGTCTTTGATAGCTCAAGATTTCTATGAATATTCTCAAGATCACTTTTTAATAAATTTGGGTTCTATGTATTTTTTAATATATTTTTTAATATATTATTTAATGTATTTTTTAATATATTTTTTAATGCTTGTTTTGTTTATTTATATTACTAATGAGACATTATGAAAAAGCCAAATCTAAGTTAGGTAGCAAAAAAAAAAGGCACTATCTATTTACAATATTTATTTCTTTCTTATTTTCTTTCTAACTTTAAATAGCAACAATAATTTCATAAATTTTATTCATGGGCTTAGCTTAGCATGTAAAGATCCTTGTGATAATAACTTTAGTATGACTATTATCATACATCAGATTATATCTGTATGTACTGTACATACTATATGTGAAAATTTTTGCTAATCATTTTATATATAGTCTGTTTTATAGTAATTAATTAGATAGCTGCACTAAAACCAGAAATGGGAAGCTTTATTTGGTATTAGTAAATATGTTTAATTACAATGTATATAAAGAAAATAATAAAAAGAAAAATTTTAGTCATTGCTTTAAAAATTTAGTATAATTATAGTATAAATCAATTTCATAAATTATTTTATTAACAGTTATTTCATTAATAATACTTTGGTAATAGGATTGGATGATAAATAGTTAGTATTGAATACAAAACTTTAACATATATCTGCATAACTTAGCCAATAAGTATTTTTTGCAAATAATGAACAATCTATACTAATATTTGACACTGTAAAGATTTATTTGTCTGTTTTCTATATTTTATAATTTCAATGATGGGTAAGGTTATAATTTAAAAAATAATAGGTAGGAGATTAACAATTTTAATGGTGGGTAAAATAATGATTTTAATAATAGGTATTAGTGATTTTAAAAATAGATAAGTGATTTGAATAGCAAGTGAGTTTTTATTTCAACAGTAAATTAGTTAGTACTTTTAATATTAATGGGTTAATTTTTTTTATAATTTGGCTCTGCCTGCTACTATTTATTTAAGCTTTGAACTATTTCAAAAATTATATGAATTTTATTTATAGCTAAAGTCTATCTAATCAAACAAGTTACTTCTTTCAGGCCCATAACTTACTAGAAGCTTGAATCTATTGGTTATTGGCTAGTACTATATACCATATTAGTATTATCTTTTCTTTTTATACTAATAAAGCACAAATACAAATTTAACGAACAAAAAAAAAAAGAGAGAAGATATCTCATCATCAAAATGAACCTCTATCATGCTATTACTATTACTGTCTCTTTTTTTATTAAATATAACAATATAATTAATGATAGTGATGTGCTATTTATATGATATCCCAATTTTTAGCATACAGTATATACAATATATATAGTAATATATAGTATATAATTAGAAATTAATCTGTATTATTACTATAGCAAAATCTTTAATACCAGGAATGGACATGAAGTGTATAGCTTATTTGAAAAAGAAATTATATGCGTATCCTAAATCTAATACCTGATTGGTCGATATAATCATAGTTGTCACATCTTGTATATTCTTCATCTACTATTAAAATCATGCCTTATCTTTATCAAAGCTATGAATCTGCATTGCTAAATGATTATTCACTGTTAAACTCTCTACTAAGTTATAAATTTACATTACAAAATCTGGAATCTACCTATTGCTAAAATCTTTAACTTATCATTACTTGAGTCATAAACACTTATTAATTTATTTATTTAAATTACTAATTTATTTATCACTAAAATTAATTCATTAATAGCACAACTTTCTCTGAAAATTACTCGTACCAAACTTATAGCTAATGAAAACAGAAACTTGTTAGAGAAAAGTAGAAAAGACACCTATATATTTAATTGTTTTTATAAAGATCAAGACTTTCTTATTCATTCTGGACTTCTTTGTATATTTAGCATACAAGTTAAAAGTGTTCTTGTACAAGATAACTAGCAAGAAAATAGTACTCTTGTATAATAAATTTTAATAGAAGCTCTGCTTCTGCTAATAAAATTAAAGAATAGTTAGTCAAAAGAAAGACAATAAGTGAGTTTTCAATACCCGCTCTAGTGAAGTTAAAGTTACCTGCAATACAAAACT